CTGTAAGATTCCACCCTCATTATTCTAGATACCAATGAGCACAGCCCCAGTCTACTCCATCTCATCAACCAACTCTGGAACTGAGCTAGTGAACCGCCTCTGTACCCCCTCCAGGGCCCACTACATCCTTTCTCAAGTAAGGAGACCAGAACTATGCACAGTACTCCAGATGTGGCCTCACCAGCTCCTTATACAGCTACAGTTTGGGGGTCTGCTGTAATTGTAAGGGTGGGGGGGTGGGTGGGAGAGCAGGGAGAAGACTGGTCTGCTGACTAAGCAGGAAGAAGGAGGAATTGGTGTTTCATTCACAGCTAGATGGGCTGTTGTTGGCTGCTGGGTCCTACGAAATGAGCCATACAAAGACATGGCTAATCAAGTCTAATGTATCCCATGTTCACTCTTGATACTGAAGGGTAAGCTGCGAGCAGGATTGAAAGGATATTGCAAGGTGACACAGAAAGAGGGACAGACAGATCAACAGGGTATGGGAGATGTCACCTTGCCAAGCTGGACTCCATCAATGGGATGATTGCCAGTATATTTTCACCCTCCTGATCTTCACACATCCTCTCTCCCTCTACCTGCTCGCCTCCCAAACAAATAAAACCAGCCTCAGGATCTGGAACCTACTCGACAACAGAAAAGCCCTCAGCTCCTGGAGGGGGACAGGAACATCCAGAGACTGTCAGTTCCCAGCATGAAGATGTTTCACATCTTCTCAGTGTGAAGGTCCTCACATTCAAGTCCCTTCACTCGAAACCCCTCAGGGCTGTTAACAAAGTATTGGGTGCTTTAAGAGGGAGGGGAGAAAGTCTTTTCAATACCTTGGTCCAGGCTGTTCCACAGTATTCCCCCCACCCCCGTATCAATCAGGAAAAAGGTCAGACTGAGAGATGAAAATGGTCAAATGAAGTGAGTGAGGCTTTAAGGGAGTCAAATATTCGCACTCACTCCCCATTACTTAGAGTCGTAGAGCCGTACAGCACAGAAACAGACCCTTCGCCCCAACTCATCCATGCTGACCAGATATCCTAAATTAATCTAGTCCCATTTGCCAGCATTTGGCCCATATCCCTCTAAACTTCATCCATGTACCCATCCAGATGCCTTTTAAATGTTGTAATTGTACCAGCCTCCACCACTTCCTCTGGCAGCTCGTTCTACACACACGCCACCCTCTGCGTAAAAAAGTTGCCCCTCAGCTCCTTTTTAAATCTTTCCCCTCTCAAACTTGTGCCCACTAGTTTTGGACTCCCCCCTCTACCTTGGGGAACAGGCTATTCACCCTCTCCATGCCCCTCATGATTTTATAAGCCTCTATAAAGGTCACCCCTCAGCCTCCGACACTCCAGGGAAAATAGCCCCAGCCTGTTCTTGAAGGGGCACGAACCCACAACACATTGTCTTCATTTACAACTCCATTGTTATCCTTTCTCAAAAAGAAAATAAAGCACATACCCTCTGGCTCAGTCATTCTATTGATAATTCTCAGACACAGCAGAGAAATACAGGGAGCTAACAATGGCGGATAATCCCAGCTCCCAAATAAACAGAACGTCTGTCTTCCAAAACAGGTGAGCTGTAACGGAGACCGAGAGAAAAAAAAGAATTTTAAACAGAAGTCATCCATCCAGCTTTTACAACAGTTTAACAACTCCACAGTAAAGTTAAGCAGCTTATAAACTCTTTTTTAAAAAAAACAACACAGGAAATTAATAAAAAGTTGCAGGCTGAACTAAACAGGTCTCACCTCCTCCCAGTTGACTCCAATCCAGCTGAAACAGTGATGAAATCCCAAACTTTTTCTAAACTTTTTTAAAAAAACAGTTTCTACGTTCCTCCTGATCATGAGATTTCAGTGAAATTGACACCTTTTTCTTTCTCTCTCTCTCTCTCTCTCTCTCTCTCTCTCTCTCTCTCTCTCTCTCTCAATCAATCAATTTACAAACACCCCATTTCACTGGTCTCTCTTTTTTCCCCCCAACTAGCTTAACCACAGAAAAGGTTCAGAGTGGGAAGGAAAGGAGCTCACTAACTGCCACTCAATCACACCCTCCCCCACTGACCACAGACACTCAGGAGGGGATTATTTAAAACCACATTCCCCTGCAATTACATTACACCTGTTCTGCTGGTTTGATTGTAACAGGGAGATTTCTCATTAACTAATTTTGTACGTCAGGGTTAATTTCTTTTCGCTTCAAGGGAAAGTCGTTGCTGAGCTGTAGATAAATCGCAGAATTAGAATTTGTAATCATTTATCCACTCTTGAGATGTAGCTGGAGCAAATATTTCTTGCCCCCGTCCCTAGTTGCCCCCCTTGAGAAGGTGGGGGTGAGCTGCCTTCTTGACCCGCTGCAGTCCATGTGCTGTAGGGTTGACCCACAGTGTCCCTTAGGGAGGGAATTCCAGGATTCTGACCCAGCGACACTGAAGGAACAGGGATATATTTCCCAACTCAGGATGGTGAGGGGCTCGGAGGGGAACTTGCAGGGGGTGGTGTTCCCATGTATCTGCTGCCCCTTGTCCTTCCGGATGGAAGTGGCCGTGGGTTTGGAAGGTGCTGCCTGCAGTGAATCTTGTCGATGGTACACACTGCTGCGACTGAGTGCCAGCGCTATATCCCAAATGAGCCCCACTTTCGGACGGATATCCAGGCTTTGGAGGGGGCGAGGGGTGGGGTGTGGGATTTCCCCGGGGACAGTTTCTGTAGGAGGAGACAGGGAGGAGCTGGGACAGATCCCCTCAGACAGGCATGGTTAAGGGGGAGATGGAATCGGGCCATTCAGAATCCCCGGGGAAGGTGGGGTGGGGGTGAGTTCAATCAGGTTGTTGAGAGAGGGAGACTGTCTCCAGGGGCAGGAGGGTAAGTCGCCAGAGGGACACGGATCGAGAAGGTCGGGAAAAGATCCCAGAGGGGGGAGTTTGTTTGCCAAACTGTGCCGTTCTTAATAAAAAAAAATCTTTGGATATTAAGGGACCAGCAAGGGATGACCCTACAGCACAGGAAAAGGTTGTTTGGCCCATCCAGGCCATGCCAGCCCTTAAAAAGATCTCTCCAATTGGTCCCCAAACATGTCCCCAGACTCTTCCTCCCCTCAAACATAACCCCCCTCCCAGTATTTCCCCCCAGTATCTTCCCCAAAAACCCGACCGTTTGAAAGTTCCTATGCAATCTACCTCCTACAGGTGCCACCTGCTAGATTACAACAACAACTTCCTCGGCAGACCGTGGCTCCCCCTCCCCTACCCACACCCCCAGAACCGGCCGGACGTGGGGCAAGGAATTAGCTTAGTTGCGAAGCAGGAAAATGGGGGAACCCGATTCGCGCAGAGGAAGATCCCACAGATGAGTAGGCAGGCTCCCTCCCTTTTACCCCCTCCCTTTCTTTCCCACGACCGCCCCCCCGACCTTGTCAGGGTTGGAGCAGGGGGTGAATGTGGGGCCACAAGGGGGACTCCCCTACAACCCCCACCCCCACAGCCCTGTCGCCCACCTCCTCCTCTGAATGGACTGTTCCATGCCCAATCCGTTGGGTAAAGATTGATAAAACAGTACATAAAAGCTGACAGCAAATTGGCCTGGTTCCCAGAGCCAGGGTCAAACTTTAACAGGGCAGCTCTCTCTGCGTCACACACACACACACACACACAATCCGGAATAAACAGCGACCGGCTCACCTGCACAGGAAGATCCCAGATCCGGACTAACAAACTGCTCTCAGGGGGAGCAGCATGGTGGCTCAGTGGTTAGCACTACTGCCTCACAGCGCCAGGGTCCCAGGTTCGATCCCACCCTCAGTCCATGTGGAGCTTACACATTCTCCCTGCGCCTGCATGGGTCCCCTCTGGGTGCTCCAGTTTCCTCCCACAGTCCAAAAGTGTGCAGGTTAAGGGTGGGTTGGCCGTGGGAAGTGTAGGGTTACAGGGATAGCGTAATGGGAGGGTGGTCACAGAGTCGGCTGACCCATCACCTCGTATGCTTTACAGAGGTCCACAGTGCATAAACAGGCCTCTCAGCCCATCAGTCTCAATGCTAGCCCACTGCACTGATCCCAGCTCCCAGCTCCCAGCTCTCAGCTCAGGGCCCCGGAGGCTATGTCAATGCAGGCAAATGCCTAAATGATATGCCAGTTCCAGACTCCTACTGCCCTCGGAGTCAAAACGTTCCTCTCCGCCTTCGATCTCTGACCCCTTGCACTAAAGGGGGAAAAGCATTTTCCTATCCCAACACACCCCCACCCCCTCCTCGATCTGTGCCCTCTTGGAATCTGACACAAGTCTCCATGGAAAATAACCCCAGTCTATCCAACCTCTCCTCTCCTCCCATCGGCTACATGGGGAAGGGAGGGGCAAGACCCTCCAGGGTCTGGGGGGATTGGTGGTGGAGATTGATCAAGATTGAGAAAAGGCCCTTCAGCCCATCCAGCCCATGCTGGTCAGAAGCAAGCACCGACCTGTTCCACTCCCACTTGACCCACATCCTTGTCAAAGCGAATCCAGATCTACATCCTTCCTCAATGTGGGAGGGGTTTCTACCTCTCCCACTCGCACAGGCAGTGAGTTCCAGATTACACCCTACCGTCCCACCACCCTACCATCCTCTGGGTGAAAACATTTTTCCCTCACCTCTCCTCTAAACCTTCTGACCCATTCCTTCAATCCCCAATGGGTCATTGATTCCTCTATCTAGGGGTGGGGGGAATGTCTTTTCCTGTCTACCCTAACTATTTCCCTCATAGTTTTGATCCATCTCAATCATGACACCCCCTCTCTCTCTATCACCTCTGTCCCAAGGAAAGCAGATCCAGTCTGTCCCAATCTCTCTCCGTTATTTGCAAGTCTCCAGCCCTCCAGGCAACATCCAAATAAATCTCCCTCTAAGGTCATGGCATCCCTCCGATGATATGTGTTCCAGAACTTTACACACGGCACTATACGCTAGTGTTCTATAAAGTTCCAGATTCACCTCCCTGCACTTGTATTCCATGCCTCGGCTAATGGAGGCAAGTATCTCACATTTCCTCATAACCACTGTATCTCCCAGCCCAGGTGCCTGCAGGGATCTGTTGGCAGGCACAGCAAGATCCCACAGCGCTATCCAGAGTCACTCCTGGTACAATCCCTCAGATGCAGGACTCTGGAAATGATGGAGGGTCAGAGGGATCTGGGCTGGCCCATGAGGAGTGTAGGGCTCTCCAGATCGGGGAGACATGAAGTTCCCTCCTCTCGAGGGAGAGGGGTGACCTGATCGAGGGGTTTACCATTCTGGAAAGGGGTTTCAATCCAGGGAGACACAGAGAAGATGTTTCCATCTGTTGGGGGAGGGAGGGTGAGCAGAACAAGGGGCCGTCGATAGAAGTCAGTCCTGAATAAATCCGATGAGGAATTCAGAAGAAATGTCTTCCCCCCAACACAGTGTGGGGTGCGGTGCGGTGGATGGGGGGACAGGCTCCCACAGGGAGTTGGGAGGGGCATAGGAAATGTGGAACTCACTTCCGAAATAACTCCACAGAGTCCGACATCCCGTCACTGAATCTCCCTTTTGTTTACACGTGGAGAGTCCTTGACACTGACCCAGCTCCCAGAGAGAGCCGAACCCCTGACACTCCTGTTTATGGCTGTCAGCCAGGGCTCCCTGATTGGACCACATCAACATCCCCAACCAGGGAAATCAGATTGGACAAGGAACAAAAACAGAAGTTGCTGGAAAAGCTCAGCAGGTCTGGCAGCATCTGTGAAGGAAAAAATCAGAGTTAACGTTTCGGGTCCCAGTGACCCTTCCTCAGAACTGATGGTGGCTGGGAAAACGTCAGTTTATATGCAGAAAATAGGGAGGTGGGTGGGGTAGGGAGTAACACGATAGGATAGAGCCCAAAGAGAGAGAAAGACAGTTGGACAGACAAAGGAGTTGCTAGCGATCAGGCTTTTTCCTTCACAGATGCTGCCAGACCTGCTGAGCTTTCCCAGCAACTTGTGTTTTTGTTCCTGATTTACAGCATCCGCAGTTCTTTCGGGTTTTATTCAGATTATATAAGCTCCAGCTGGCCAACCTCGTTACAGTCCTACGTCCCTCCTCCCTCTGAGTCTGAGGATGTAGGTGGGTTCTTTATCTTGTAACCCCTCCTGGGGCATTTTAGCACCGGCCCACCGACTCCACCTCAGATACTGGCGGGGGGAGTGTAACAGACAGGAACTCGCCTCTCGCGCCCGGAGCATCTCGGAAGAAATTCACTCTCGTCCTTAGGTGGGGGCATCCGCTGTATCCACCCTGGATTCCAAGGTTATCTTTGTTGTCTGATGGAGATGGAGAACACACGGATTCTGTAACAGTCGGCACGTCTCGCTCCCAGCGCCATTTGTGATTTTGTTTAGGAGTGCCTCACCTGCCCGAATTTCACACACCATGGGATTTGCCCTCTCACAGACCATGCCTCCTGCCCCTGCAGGGCCATTCCAGCGCGTCCTGCACCAAATTTTGTCCCCTGAAGGAAACTGTTTCTCTTGCTTAGCAGAGTCTGGCACTGGCGTTCCTGATGCCATTACTCCCTCCCACCCCCAGGTCTGGGAAGACCAGATGTAACCTGGTACAGAGCCACCTCCCCATGAGCAACTCTGCTGGAGCTATCCCTGTAGTTGTATGAGGCGCAATCCAGTAGGAACTGGGATAGTTTGAAATCATAGAATCCCTACAATCTGGGAATAGGCCACTTGGCCCAACAAGTCACACCAACCCTCCAAAGAACATCCCACCCAGACCCATCCCGACCCATCCCCTGTAACCCTGCATTTCCCATGGCCAATCCACCCTAACCTTCACATCCCTGGGCACTATGGGTAATTTAGCACGGTCAATCCACCCTAACCTACACATCCCTGAGCACTATGGGTAATTTAGCATGGCCAGTCCACCCTAACCTACATATCCCTGAGCACTATGGGTAATTTAGCATGGCCAATCCACCCTAACCTACACATCCCTGGGCACTATGGGTAATTTAGCACGGCCAATCCACCCTAACCTACATATCCCTGAGCACTATGGGTAATTTAGCACGGCCAATCCACCCTAACCTACACATCCCTGAGCACTATGGGAGAATTTAGCACGGCCAATCCACCCTAACCTGCACACCTTTGGACAGTGGGAGGAAAATGGAGCTCCCAGAGGAAACCCACGCAGACACGGGGAGAATGTGCAAACTCCACACAGACAGTTGCCCGAGGGTGGGATCAAACCCGGGTCCTTGGCGCTGTGAGGCAGCAGCGCTAACCACTGTGCCACCGTGCCGCTGTTTGGTATTGAGTGAAGCTGTTTCTTTAAGTCCGCCTTCAAAATTGGGATTGCTGTTTCTGCCAGCCCATTGGATGATGGATGGTACGGAGATGTCCTTATGCGCTGAATACCATTGACTTTGGGAAATACTCGAAATTCCTGCTGATAAACAATGGCTTGTTGTCTGTGACCACTTAACCAAAGGTTCATTTTGATTGGTTCTGATTTGGATGTTGCTAAGCAATGTACCTGCTCCAAGGTAGATATAGGTAGGATTTCCAGGGTGTGCACTCTCCTGGATACTGGCTATGAGTTCTCTTACACAATTCAGGCCTAGTGGGACTCTGTTACTGTCACGATCCACATTCCAGCAGCAACTACAATGACTTGCTGGCCCGGATCCTGAAGAAAGTTTTAACCATTTGGCCGAGGCTTGGTTTCATTTTGGGGTTTTGCTGTGGACTGATCTAGATTTCCTCTGTGAAGGATATGTCCTAAGTGAGGCTGTGCAATTGCCTTCACTCGAGTGGTGTTCCCTAAGCTC